ACGAAAGCATTCTTCCGGAAATAAAGCATTCTTCCGGGGATTCAACAAAGAATTCATTAATCAGTCACACGATATAGTGTGAATGTAACAGTACACGGATAATGTAGCAACTATGTGGGCCAAATGTTTTCTGGGCAGTACTCGTCGAAAGCAACCTTAGTCAAATGGATGTAATAGGTAACGATATACGAAATAAAGAAAAATTTTGTAGTTTCAAGAATTTAAATACCTTTAGGGATTTTCACACTCCAGACGTGACGATCGTAAAAGATCGGTCACAAGGTCAACTGATTTGAACCCACTTTGGTTTAATCAATAACTTTGGTTTTCGGAAGAAATAGTCATTGTGTATACTCGTAATGCACTACTCATAAGGTTGCTGAAAATTCTTCGACAGCCCACAAACGGCTTCGGCCTTCTTGGGGCTCATCAGTCACGGAGTTTCCGTCAACCCTGTGTTATGCTTGAAACCAAATTGCACGAAATCAGCCTAATACACTCATTTACAAACAAATTTGGTTTTGCGAAAGACTCACCTAGAACCCAGCTGAGTCTCTCGTTTGTGATGTCATTATAGTTTAATTCACTCTACATAGGCTCTCTATCGACACCTTTAACAGTAGCGTTGGGGAAAATAGCGCGAGTACAGTAAATATCCTTGTGAAAGGCCCTGTCGTTGACCACCTGCAATTTGTTGAAAAGGTGTTTTTTATAATTAGTGGTATCGTNACAGTAGCGGGAAAATAGCGCGGGTACAGTAAATATACCTTGTGAAAGGCCCTGTCGTTGACCACCTGCAATTTGTTGAAAAGGTGTTTTTTATAATTAGTGGTATCGTGGATGATACATCATACTAGGGCAGTCGCATTCCTCGATTTCTAATCACTCATACCGATTACTTGAATTGTTTAGGCATTATGCCTCTGGGCCTCTCCCTGTATTACTGTGTTTTTCTGTCACCAATTACTGTTCAATTTTCAATGCAGCTCCAATCATGAAAACCTGGTGTATGCCGTGGCACATGAATCACGTCGTTCTTGAAGTAATTTTCGGTTGTTGCAGAATAACTCAGAGGCCAGAGTGCCTAGTTTCAAGATGTAACGCATGTTGCTGTTTATCACAAATTTCTGTCTCTCCTGCATCGAACCAGAGATTCCTATTAAAGTTGCGGGGGAATTTGTTCGTTAGAAATTGGTGTACAGCGATTATTAAGTCTTTCAAATACTTGTAACTGTACATGGCTATCTGCATTCCGCATATATCGAGACCCATTGATAAGCTGCATTCTCAATGAGTTGCTGGTTTTTATTTTACTGGTCGTCAAGATCATTTGAAACTCGGTTGAGTCGAAGAATTAGTTGTTTATGTAGTTGTACACTACCTTGCAAATTACATTGGCACCAATGGAAGATGTAGATGAATGTCAGCCTCATCTCTTCGACTGAATGCGATACACAAAAATCGTCTCATAAATATAATGAGAACCCGGAAACTTCACCTGCTTGGTGAACCACAAGAAGAACGAAACCGCTGGTTGTTTGTCAAACTATCGTAGCCTTCACTCATGATTGAACAGGGCCCAGCTGGAAGATAGTGTTTTTATGTCGTTTCTCCCTTAAAGGATGCTTTTTTCGAAGTTCTTTATAACATATCACACTTTCAACTGGCTAGAATAGCAGATCCATGGCCATGTTGTGCTGTCTGTTGGCTGGGCCATCCTTTCTGATTGTGACAGCGTTATGGCGAGACGAGATCTCCGCTTATTTGTTTGATTCGCTGCTAGATTTTCATACCCTTGCTCATAAAAGTCATTCGCGTGACCTGCGGCTTGGTTTGTTTTGCACATCCAACTTCGTTGATGAGGTCACCTGGCCCGATAGCCGAGCAAAAAATTGTACTAACCTTAATCTCTGGTCGTATCTATTTGCGAGTTCGGATGGGTTTATAATGCTTAGCTTTCTTTGTTGGAAAAATTTTAATGTGATCTACCAGCCTACCTTAATATAAATCTCGTGGAATAAACTTTTTACGAAACGTACACATTTCAAGGTCCTTAGTTTTGATGTTAGTCAAAACGAATCGAATTCACTCTCCATAACTTACTTTTGATAGTAGTTTGTAAGTCCGTTTTTCTCTACCTTCAGCTCTTGCTTTGTTTCTGTGTTTGAAGTTCCAGACGACCGTTGGATCTGAAAACGAATCCAGTTCCTTATCTGGAGGGTTCCCTCCGTGTTTTATTTATTTCACAACAGTTTCCGTTTTTACGTCTTTACCGTTCGAATTTTGCTGACGATTAATTATACCGACCGATTTCGTAAATAAATGCTCCTCCAACTGTCTGTCGTGAGGTGACTGACTGAAAACAGTTGAATAAAATTCGCCTAGCTGCCTTTGACCCTATGCATTAAAGGTTTGACTAGGCCTGCAACCTCTCCGTCGTTTCTAATCAGTCGGAAATACCTAATGAGTTTCTTATACCCAAACTGATTCTGGAGACACCGACTGCGCGCTTATATCTAGGGCTTTGACTTTTGTTGGATAACCACGCGACTGGACTCTGCATTCGCTTACCGGTTCGACAGTATCAGACGTTAGTTATCACTACATAGCCGCACATACTAATACAATGGACTGGGGGTGTTGCGCGATTCCTTAGAGACCCAGTAATGGGAACAGAATACGCCAGATGACTGCATTTTCAGTTGAGCGAAAAAGCATTTCATGTGCTTCAGTAAATGCCATTTCACCTATTTCCAAAATCCAATATGGGACCAGATTGTGAATCATAGGTATTTATCACTCTCTTCGTTGCGCTTTCGTACGTCATTTGAAGTGGATTTTGGTAAAGTTATTTCATATACATATATGTATATATATACTGTTTAGAAAACTGAACCCGTCTCTCATAGTAGGTATTTTGCTATTACAAAACGGGTGTTACTTTGACCATCCATAGATAATTACAGATGTTGTAGCTGCTAGTAATTTACAACTCGGACTCAAACGATTTCGGGCGAATCAACATTAGTATACTTGATTCGCGCATGGCAAGTTGAAACAACAAGATATTACCTTTCTGCTCAAGTTCAGAATGTTGCTTCATCTTCTGGGTAGGTCCTAAAGAGCACAACGAAGTCCTGAATTCCTGAAAGTGTGTTAATGGACCTCAGCCGCGGTTAAGCCAATGGGTCTTGAATGACTTGTTGGCTTTTTCCGGTTCCGGTTAAGGAGAACCTGCGGGTTGTTGACAAGATGTCATACTAATTGGCCTATTTCTGAGTGATTCGTGTATCTTCCGAAGCGGGCCAGGTTTATCGGTAACCAGAATTTAAGGATTTCTTGTATTAGCAGTGTATCATTGAGTTTTATCCGTCAGTCTTGCCTCGCCTGTAAATCAAGCGTTTGATTTGTTGTTTTGACTTGCTTACCTTTGGTTGGATATTGTTGCCCTGGTTTATCATCTCTGGGGACAGAATACGGGGATTATACTTTGGTAGTACGAACGATATGCAGATCCTATGGTGGAATTGATCTTTCCTGCTCTGAGGAGACCGCTCGAAATTACTAATAATCTTCGGGTGTCACCTCTTCAATAGGACAGCCGTACTTCGCAAAATGCATGCATTTACAAACTAGGTTTGTATCAACGCCGAACGCGTCTGAATTAGATCGACCAATTATTTTTTCAACAGTGCGTTCTGAAATAACAAAGTAGAGGGAAAATTGAAGACTATCTAATCGATAAGCCCCAAGAAAAAACCAGCCATAGGATAATTTTCAGTAACCTTGTTCCGTTGGGAAGTCAACCGTACGTTTTCTAGTTCTTCAGAAGCCACTTCAGACCACTAGTCAAGGCTGTGTTTTCTGTGTTGGCCTCTCTTGCAAAGGAGTTTACCGTTGAATTACACCTTTGGTGACTGCAAGTTATCGCTTGCAGGTGGTGCCTCATTAAGACATGCTGTCTTGAGAGACTAAACCAACAGACCAATTTTTGGACAGATTTTGGAAAGGTAAGTTCTTTAAGAAAAACGAACGGCGTCACGCCAGTTAGTGCGTGCTGATCATACAGCATGCAGCCCACTGCACTTCACTGTAATTTGATATAGTACCATAGTAGCACGCTAATCTCTCCTTTCTGATCTATGGTGCTTGCAAAAGTGAAAATATTTATGACGGTGTTGTGCACAAGATCGGATACAAAGGACTCTCGTTGATGCTCATGAAGTGGTTTCGTAACTGAGTTCCCAAATTTTTGTCTGTGTTCGATAAAGTGGGCTTCGTAAGGATTGATTAATTCTGTAGCAGGTATAACAAAATGGGTCATAATATTGCCCCAACTTAATCAGTGTATTGCCAGGTACTATTTGCTTGTACTTTCGATGGAGAGTTTTTCCTGCCACTCCAACTCAGATCATTTAGATCGCTTTTTGTAGGTGGCTGGCGACGGAGGGTTACTATAAACCATAGAGTACTGGATTTTGTATTCTCTGTATCATTCTTGGAACGTTTTCCCAAGCGACGTTTGGTATTTACGGTTCTGCCATGCCAAAATATCTCCTGAAATCAAAGCATGTTCTCAGTAATAGTAACGATAACAGTGATAATAGCGGTGTAGTAGCCATGTTAGTAACAATTTTGGTAATAATACTAATAAGAAAGAATATTTGTGACAACAACAACATAGTAATCTTCCACGATATACCGGTAAGGAGAAAGGGGTTATCTAATTCTATACTGTGTGTCCCAGTTTTCGGAGCATCTCTCACTAAGTCGGGGCTGACGGAGAGTGCTAGTATGAAACCACCTAGGGGAGTGGATTATCTCCAACGAGATCTATGTTGAACAGGATTGTTATGAACTTCCCTGAGCAGAGTGGCATAGAAGCAAGGCAGCTATTTCTATCAGTGCGACTGCTAGTTGTTTACTGATCTAATAGGAGGAATATTTTTATAAATTCCACTGCTCCAAATCTTCAACGTTCATGTCTTTTGCTGTTCCAGATTGGTGCTTGGACCAACTTTGCGTTACCGATTTCAAAATCGAGCCCCTTCCGAACAAGCCAAGTTCTGGAAAATCCAAGTGACCTCCAAGCGATATGGAGCGCTAATTCGTGTCCGACGGATAGATGGGGAGTCGTCCAGACACGACATCAGCAGGTACGACTAGCTAGTGTTGTGCATGTTGTCCACACTTCTGATTCGCTTTTTTCCGAGCATTCTATTCAACCATACAGAGCACTTTGTTAGCGTTAGTTAGAAACAGGTCCCACCAGAGCAGGATATTTTTTTACGGTTCGACCGCCTGAACACTTTTAGGAACGCCTAATGGGTTCTTTGGGTTCTTCGTTGGTGACACTCCTACATCATCCCACCTGTCGCCATAATTTGTGCCATCCCATTCAGAGTTAAGAAGTAATCCTCTCGAATTACGTAACGTCCAATCACTCCCACGGGACGAGGGTCGGGAACAAAAACTTTGCACGTGGCCTACAGGCGCATTCCATGCGCGACTGAGTGTACTCGATCGATTGACTGATAGCGCATTAGCGATTAGCTTAAACGGATTGTCTCGGAACACAGTCATGACCGCTTAAGAGAATGTGCGAATCAGCACGGACACAAAATTACCTCAGTTATTGGACCCTACCCAGTACTGACTCAACAAAACATTGATTCAGGGACTTGTTGGTGTGGTGGTTTTTGCTGATAATTGGCCACGGATGTGGTCATATGGTGAGACAAAAGTTTGTGACTCCAACCATTTAGCTTCAAAACAGAGATTGCACAGTAATTTACCTTGAACACAGTTGGTGCTTGTTATAAACATGTAATGTGCCTGACACCGCAATCCTATGGACGGCAATACTATCAATCGCATGGTGAGTGAAATACCATCATGTTCCCCATTAGCAATTGAAAGGGAACATTAGTATAATACAACAGAACGAGTATGGTACTAAACTAGGGCCTAAAGATAACGCCAATACTTTCATGATGAACAGATAACTGTTGTTTGTCCTATCATGCCTATCCCCGCATCTTAGCCCTTTGCATGTTATCCAGCTGATCTAATTCCCTTAGTTGTACATCATTTCCAAGGAATTGCACCCTGCACCACGTTCGGCTCCGCGCAAACTGAATGTTGTTGCCTGACCATGGGAAGACGTTCAGTGGTTCGATCACGGTTTTCAGGCAAATCCCTGATGTTAGACATTGATAAGCATGGAATGTATTCCGCTTGGCAACCTCATTGTTGATGCCTTTGCGTAGCGCGCCAGATTTACCGATGCCGCCACGAACAGTGTTTGTAAATGGCAACTATGTCAAGCCGGTATCTGAATAAAACGCTTTCCATTATGATGTTGAATGTACCTCAGCCTTCAGTTGGAAGACCTTCCAGCGATACATGGTAAATCGACAGATTCTTTACCAAACCTTTCTGAAGTGATGCCTTTTTTCTTGAAAATGGACATGCGCTTGGGTCGACGTAAATTCGACAAGTATAAAGTGTTAAGTAAAGCGGATAGGGGCAGATTTCCTGCTTCTCTGTCCTACTTTGGTTTGCGTTTGTGCATAACCTTTGGCCAATTATCCTGGCGACTATTTCCAACAATGCTGGTCTCACGCTCTTAGCCACAAAACCAGGCTGTTCTTGTGGTGAACACTTTGTCGTTTGTTAATATAATGAATTTGGCAGTTCGGGTCATCGTTGTCGTCGTTGACGACTAAACACAATTACTACAGATTGGTGCACACATTGGGTGAAAATTTATTTCAACCCGTTTTGGCTTCATCGACTAAAATCTCTTTTACTGAGACTAAAATGTGATCAGGTTTTAGTTGTTTCGTCTAAAGTCATAGTCTGTTGTAGAACTCAACTTGCTTTTTCACGCTTTGTGGTCCTCTCCGACTCGACTGTAGTTATTTTTTATGCATGCACTTTGGACCTTGGTGTTGGTGCAAGTTCTACTCCTCCTCCCCCCAATCTCAGCAATGGGTAACGATTAACGTAGCAGTCGTTCCGTATTTCCTTGATTGACAGGAACCAAGGCCTACGGACTGACGCCAACAAGTCACCATGACTGACTCACTTCGGTAGCTCAAAATGTTGCACACCCATAGTCCCACCGGCACTCAGACAACTCAGACAGTACAACTTGATGTGCTTGACTTCCTCACCTTGTTGGGTTGGGCCCTAGACAATTAATTAGAAACAACGATAACTTCTAATTAAAATGTTGTCCATCAAACTAAAAACTGACACCATTTTTCGCTCGACTTTTTTGTTTCTAAGTTATGGGTCTCTTACTAGCTCTTCTCATGCTCAGCAGCGATACGCTCCGTAGGCAACACACACCTTAGAAGTTGAAAATAACAGGTACTCCAGATTGCTCGAAAACGTCTCTCACACTGTGAATGCTGAGTGAATTTCGGTGTGATCTCTGAATAGGTCTCAAATGACTGAAACCGCTGAATAAATATTGCTGACCGAAGATTTATTGAGTGGTGGAAAACTCCGGAGTATTCTCTACAGATTAATATTGTCCAGCCCTGTATACTACTTTTGTTCGGTCCGCTCGGCCTTGTTTTCCTTTACAGGCTAAAAAGCTAGTGATATGAGTGTGTATCCGTGAAGCCACATTGCCATCTGGACCCATTCATCCATTATTCATGTTCCTCCACCCACTGTGGCGTGAGTTTTGGTCTTATGGAAGTCCACTTGTCAGATCTTAGGCGATGCCTATTTACACACCATTTCTCCTACTGTGATGTGCAGCGAGTCATTTATCATTGTTTGTCACAAGCACGCGGAATGCACCCAAAGCTGACATAGCCACAGATGTGTTTCCGAAGAGCTAGCTAGTCAAACCGATTACCGTGAATGTGTGTGCAGGTTTTCTGTCCTTTTGAACCTCTTGTTCTCCCTTGTCGGTCATGTAGCCCCTTTCAACTGGAGCGAACACGCTTTGACAACTAAGATTAACATTGACAGCAAGCAGAGATTCCAGCGTGGCTCGCTCCAGCTTTCCTCTTAGAGGAGGAAGATGGGACCTGCAGATAATGGTCTGTTGCTAGGCTCGTCACTCATTCAGAGGCATATTTCACTTCAAAACCAGTACTTTCCTCTGTTGTTATGTGTGGGAATGCCTGAATGTATCTCGATAGTTGTCTATTTGCCATCTTTATTTTGCTTACTACGGTATTCAGTCTATCTCACACGGATAGGACACAGTTACGTTTGAAACTCCTAAAATGGTAGGCGTGACCAATTCTGGTGTTTGAGTCCTGTTTCACACATTTCCAAACTGTCAGTCTGGGCATTCTGTTATGGGTGCAAGGTTCATTGCGAATGCAGTGGACTGTCAGCTGTTTTAGGTTCTGCTACGTGGTTGGGAATGCAGTTGGGAATGCGTCTTTCCAATGAATTGCGTGGCGGAGAAATTTCTTTCGTGTTACTTACTGATTCATCTGGACTATCCACGTTTTTACAGCATTCTTGATCCCCGAATTCTCAGGTACTGTATCACAGGGAGTTCTAGAGTAGTTTGGTTTGAAATCAAGATTTCATCCTGCGAGTGAATCCATTCTGTGTTTAAAAAACCGGAAATCACAGTACAGCTGTTTTCATCGAACGAAAAAAAACGAAATCTCAAGGATTTCAGTCGAGTTTAACAAGAACGACTTACACTCAGAGAGTCCGTCCCACCATGAGTCATTCAAGCGTTTAGTCCACTTCTTGTGATCTGTCATTGACTGCTCCCTTGTTGCTTGACGTCCACGTTACTTCCGAGCGGATTACTTCCTCACATGGCCGCCTACACAGTGGGGTCGTATTAAATTACTCCTCTGGTGATTTTCAGTTAAGGACTACGCTTTTAACTATAAATGAAAGTATAGCGAGGACCGTCGCCGAACTAGTTCGTCCTCAGTGAATGTAAGGAGTTGATAATAAATGTGCAGCCTTCTTCCATGGTGCGAGATCACTTTCTCTTTCAGCCAGAGCTGAAAGAGCTGACAATAACCAATATATGATAACGGTTGGAGTATGTGATATTTCTAAATGCTTATATCAGTAGACCAGAATTCAATTTCATCCATGTATTTTGAAGCTTTCTAAATCAAAGCACCAAATTTACTGTGGGATTCTGTTACACCAAGTCATTTAGGCCAAGGCTAAGTTCATCATAACGGAATTGTGTCTGAAACATGCACGGAAAATCACTACTGCAGAGTTAAGTGGTCACTCTGTTACTCCGCAATGTTACTCGTAGACTTTTGGTAATTCGCTGGTAAATAAGTGCAACAAATGCATGCGATCTTACCAAAAGTCTGTTTTCCACAGGAGATGTGCAGTCGAACAAAATTCGGAAAATGGCCGCGGCAAAAGTACGCGGTCGTCCTGATCTCATATCTTTGGGAAAATGTTTATTAGCCCGGAAATGGGGATCAAACCTATCCAAGTGAAGATCGATGAGGTGTGCTCTCCAATAAAATCCACATTTATACGTAAACCTAGGAACTGTCCTGATCAACCTATCGACTCTTGTTTCCCTCAGATGACGTGACAGCGTGCTACAAGTGTCCATTATCACCTTGACCGTGTCGAATCATATAGCAGATAAAACCGACAGAAAAATCCACTGAATTTACAGCCTAAGGAGAAAGGCGTACACCCACATTATCCTGTACTCTGCTTTCATAACTCTGCTATTTTTCGTATATTCCTTATAGAATGAAAATAATTAAATACAATCTTAGGATAAGCTATATCACTTCAAATGATAGTTATAAGACAAACTCACTGACATTTTTCGTCGCGTAACCACGGTCGCTTGTGTCCTTTCGAATTCTCCAAGGTTTTCGAACTACTCATTCTGACCTGCGGTGTTACACACTGCGCTATAAGGTGCATCATTAAACTATTGAGAATTCCGTGTTTTCTAGTCTGGTGCCATCTGTCTACACAAGCTCTCTTGAATAAATCAAATGCGGGCGCATTTAGATGACTCGGTTGGCTATATACCTAATTGATCAGCATAGTACCCGTCCAGTGATTGTATGATTTCGGGGTTCGTAGTTGTGGCCTTGCTTTTTCAGGTTAGTGCCACAACGTTGAAGGATCATAACAGTGGCGTACCGAAAAAAGCCTGAATCCTGCGTGGCCGCGTGCCCCATATAAGCTTAGACAATTAGGATGGCTTACCTACTAAACTGGGTCACTAGTCCAGATCGAGTAACTGACTTGTAGCTATTCCAGCATACTGCACCTTGGCCTTAGTTATCCTGTGTACTAACCCTGCCTTTCTGGGGATAGAAGATTCAGGCTACCGCCTGGGCGTCAATTTTCAGATAGGAGGATGGGTGGCAAAATTCTCTTTGTATCATTACTCGCTTGTTCCCAATAAACTTCCAGCTGAACAACGTCTCATGAAAGCAGGTCTGTTTAAGGCGACATCCAAGCATGTTGAAAAACAAGGTTTTCCCGGGCAGTTTTCGAGTTTTCTTATAAAGTTTAGGAAGCAGAGATTTGGAGGCCGATGTATTTGTCACCTTCGCTTTTCTGCAAAATTACCTAAGTTGAGCTAGTCAGTAGACGTTGTGTAGTTTCGCCGCGAGGTTTGTAACTCGCCCTTCAAGGAAAGATTGAAAGAGCACCATTTCGAGCGATCTGAACAATCAACGGCTACATCAAAAATCAGTGAGGCCTGAGTGACTTACTTATATGCTCTTGGTTGTAGGCTTACTATTTTTCGTTTGTATTCAGCATCCTTTAGTTATGTAACCACTATCCATTCAGCAGTCAAAAGAAGGAATCCCTTAACTGGTAGTAGATTAGGATTCTTTTATTCGCTCAAATATGTGGTCCCTTCTGTTAATTCCCTTAGAGGGCTTTTACGATCTCCGAATACATTCGTTCTTAAGCTGCTAGCAAACGGGTCGATTTAAACTGATGCAAGTTAGAATACCGGGGACCAGCACACAGAATTACTTAGCAGCGAGATCACCCATGATCCTCTGTTGGTTCAAGTCTTATCACGTAAAGTTTTAAAACTTTTTGATTGCATTTATCCTGGCACCAACATTCTCAAATAACGTCTCTGATGCGGATATTTTTTACTCCCATTGTTACCAAAACCACTTAACCTGCAGTTTGGTTATTTTTGTCCTCTTAATTGGTGGTCTTAAAACGAGTGTGCAGATAGATAGAGTTATTAACCATACAACCGCTTATTCTTCCTCATGACTTCTTTTCAGATCGACTGCGCGAAGTCCCATGTAGGCTTACTCTCTACAAACTTGAAGATTAAACAATGTCTTACGTAATATTTCCCACTTCCCCAGGACCTTTGCACACACGACTGCTATCTTTGCCAAAATCTTCAGAGTAACCTAACTGGTTTACCGTCGATGAAAGTGAGGATATAGATTTTATGCAGAAGGGTTTCTTCAGAACAGTTAATTAATTCCTAAAAGTGATTTATATTGTGCCAGGTAGATGGTTGAATATGATAGCTGACAACGGTAGAGTAATGACAAAGCTGGTTAGGGGTTTCACGCTCACCTCGTGCACTTTATGATGTTACTCATCTTCAGGGATCAGGTACGAACACGCGAACCATAATTTTACGGGGGGTTATCACCCGAGTGCACAGAACCACAAATTCTTTCATTAAAACGGGTAGCGTTCGCGTTTCACCTTGCATACTCGGCAGTTGAGTGGCTGCCAACCAAGTTATCTGACACAAGCTGCGCAAAACGGACATATTTTCGCTTGAGGGTTCTGTGTCTGTTGTTCATCAGTTGCACCTGTCACATGTGCTGACGTGCCCATTGGAATAGACTCCGGTTGAATACCGACCCTATCACGCGCACTGTACGTGGAAATGACCACTCACTCGTTCAGACCCTAGTGCTTTTGGTCTCAACAGTTGTCAAACCCTCATATAGTAGAGCATGCCGCTGTCAGTTGCTTCAGCTCAATGTGCATCAAAATTTGAGATATGAAATACGGAGATGATTCAGTTATTATGTGAGTCACCAACTTGTTTGTGACTGCAGCCTCTTTTGGAACTCCGACCTGCTCGAATTATTCACTACGTAATGATAATTTTTGAATTTTTCACACGTTCTTGAGGATGAGAAACAAAGTTATTGTCGCTTGGTGAGCACGACGGCCGGATGCTATGGAAATACTCTTTCACTGCGTCTTCACCCATGAACACCTACCATTTGGTGTTTAGGACTGGACACGTGATATGTTATCCAGTCTATCGTGGTTTTTGTTGCCCATGGTTTGAACAGTCGCATGACATCCGGTTCGATTTTCATACAACCCTGAAGGGGCTGAACTTCGATGTCATCAGGTTGAAACAATAGCTAAAGGTGCGTGTTCAGAGTAGTATACTTCCTGTGGTTGGAACGGACTCTGACTCTTCATATCAGCATGCCTCTGTTCTTAGTTGCGCGACAGTCTGCGTTGAAAAGAAGAGGATACGAAGAAATCCTAATTATTTACCAGTTAGAATATGCCCTTTCGTGTGTGATACCTTCAAGGTTTTCTGTACTTTATTCGCATCCTCACTTACTCGTCTGCCCGACGATTTCCCAGGAAAATCAGTTGGGACAATAATTTCTTCATAGATGAAAGAACGAATTCTAGTCTTCTCTAACTGCACACCGAATACAGGTTGTACACGTCAGTGCTCTGCTGTCACAGTTGTACTATACAGTAGTAAATGATCATCGCAGTAACGAAATCTGTGTGCGTCTCTTTTTATACAGCCCTAAACCTATCGCCGATCTTGTTTTGGAAGAAGTGCCACAAACGGATGCACAGCTACCTGCAACATCAAGTTCACGTGAGAAATTCGTCTCTTCTCAAGAGAACGACATCGATTACATGGACTCAACCAGTTCGACAGACAGTACAGAGCTGGAGGCCCAGTTGGTTGATAAAGCACCCACAGGACAGTTTCCTATACAGATACAGTTGCTGCAGCTTGTACAGGCGAACAAGAGCGAGATAGGAACAGACAGTCCTATCCCAACAATCTTATCGGTAGTCCCCGACATGATCCCCAAACCAGATGCAATGCACATCTTTGTACAATTTGAAGTGAGTTGGATACGCTTGTCCAAGTTTTATGGGCATTTTTTAATAATCCTGGTGTATTATGGGGCCTGGTATGATTCATAAATATTCAAATTGCACGCGTATTCCTGTTCATCAGTATTTCCGCTTCTCACAGTCCTCATTTCCTACAGCTTATCAATTCGCAAAACACCGCAGCACCGACGGTTTCCACTACACAAAACTTTGGACGGTATACTTAGTTCTGTTCTGTATTTATTCTCTAACCGATGTCCTCGGTGTTTTCATTATCCTCTGACTGACTAAACACAGTATTTGCAGTTAAACTGGCCCGGTTTTTGCCGCCTTTAACAAACTCTCCCCTCCTCTCCATACAGCCCAACGGTAAAGTCGGAAGGTATGCCCAAGTCAGCGTACCCAACAGAACACCTTGTGTAAACATTCGCCCCAGCACCGCTCACTCGCACCAAACTGACTGTCGCGTAATACGCTTGTCGTACACAGCTGCGTACAGCGACTGGCTACGTGCGCACGTGTGTGCGAAAATTCTCGCTATGCGTTTGTTTATACCCATCGGTGCTTCGCTTTTATCGCACAATCTGGTTGAGGAATTGCATGTTAGAACGCCAAGTTGGCGCGCACTGAGTTGCAGTTCCACCGCAGGTGCACACGCAGTAGCCGTGGCCTGTCATTCAAAACCACGTTACTGAATTTTGTAATTAGGTCGTGTACTTTAGACCAGTGCTTTCATGTTTCGTGGTTACCACAGATACCGCCGACCGTAAATTGGCCTTATCTAGAAGACGCTATCCGGGCCGTGCAATGCAGTTAAAATTCCCATTTGGTTTTTGTTTAGTATTATGATGTTCTACTGCCAGGCTAAAGTCAGAGGTTTTATGTCAACTATTTAATCGCACCATTAAGTCTGAACGAAGCTAATTTTCCAGTCCCAATTTAATGACTCAATTGGCAGTTATTATATTGGTATTCTGAATGCATGTTTCTAGTTGTGCTCTCCTCAAGTAAATTCGAAGCTCTGCTTTAAACAGCATGCTCATCTAAAAGCCACCAGAGCGGGTGCCTTGTTTGCATGGATATTCTACTATGCGCTATGAGCAGACAACTAGGGATAAGTCGGTTAGCTCATTAAAACGCCTGCAGCTTTTGTGACCAAATATTCGGCGAGAAGATTGCTTCAGGATTCAGCGTGTTTGATAATCAACATAACGATGCACTCACCTCAATTTATGGGCTTGTTTAGAAATCTCCGACCTTTTTTGCCATGTTTGGAGTTGGTCAGGTGAAACGCCAGACTGTTTGAAATTTGCGATTCACCATATTACTGGAACCATGAGCAGGACGAAACAGTTATAAAGGTGTTGGCAAGCTTCAATCAATTTCATGAGTATTAGTATCCACTTTAGCACTGAGTGTTGGTGTTTATATACAATCCTCACCTTCCACATTTGAATTCACTCACATCAACTTATCAGTATCAATGTTTGCAGGGTGCATCCTAGAGAAAAAAGTTCCAACGATGGGTAAATTTCGTCCAGTAGGAATGAACAAACTTACGTGCACATTGCAAACCTTACAAACCTCACGGGTGTTAGGTAGTAGTCTCCTAAGCATGAGTATCTGTTGACTTTTATTTTTTTGGGCCCGAGCGCGAATTTACTAAACGGAAGGTCCGTTGTTCGAACCCAACCTCTGCTTCTCGACTTCCCCTGTCTAGGTTTGAGCAACCTGGCAGTACCTCGGCCCTCATGCTTCCATTCGGGTGGCATACCTGTTAGGCATCGAAAGGTAGTTACAGCTTAACATCTTTTTTTGAGAACATCATAAGCGAGAGATTCAGCTGGGTTCCAGGTGAGTCTCTCGAAAGAACCAAATTAGTTTGCAGATGAGTGTATATTCGCTAATTTCGTGCAATTTGGTTTCAAGTAGAACATAAGGTTGACGGAAACCCGGGGACTGCGTCTATCTGATGAGCCCCAAGAAGGGCGAAACCGGTCGTGGGCTGTCGATGGACTTTCAGCAACCTTATGAGTAGTACATTACAAAGATAAACTTTTTTACTTTTTCTCCTTCATCGATCTCGTTGGTATGCATCACCCTCATGACCGGTACAAGTCCCTTAAGCGGAATATTCCGCCCAAAAGGACCCGGTCCCATTGAGTGTGATTGGTTCTGGGGAAACCTCATTCTTGTGCTTACTGCACACGTACGTATATGGTACCATTTAGGTTTACTTCCAAACAAGAAGTGTGTGTGTGTGTGTGTGCGTGAAACGATGATCATCGGTGTCACTGACCACTATCTTCCCTTCCCTTGGGCTTTATTAGACCACTTTCAGACCGAACCGGTATTGACCTCGTGGTCAGTGCTTCAGATTTACCGGGTTGTCAGCAGTAGGTACTTCGGTTAAGATTATCTCTTGGTTAAATAACACCATATTCTCCAAAGAAATTTGGTTTCGTACATTCATGGTGCTACTTATCGAAGTCTGTTGTGGTTCTTCTCTGGTCATTCGAAAGAAATGAGAAATCCGTCGCTAGCTCTGACCAAAATACAGGCTTCCCGGTGACACATATGCTGATGTGCTTCACAAGCGAGTTTGGCGTCTTGGTTTCACAGCCTCATTGTAGATATATGGTATTCGAACATATTGCACTACTCAATAGTGTCTCGTGCTACCTGTCCTTTTTCAAAGTAAGTTGCAGGACTGTACTTTTTATGTGCACTTATTGATTCATCGCTGGGCTCTAATTTCTCCAGTTCCCGTTATCACTTCCTTGGTAGTCGCTTTGATGTCCTTGTTTTCCGTGTTGACTGTGCATAATATCCAACCGATAGGCCAAAATCACTTCTGGCTAACAGTATTTCTCGCACAAAATTTTACGGACATCGGAATTCTCAAATTTACTGTGAACCACAAGCCACACCCTTCCGTCAACTCTCGGGCACCGACCTCAAAATTCATCATTCATAATTAGTTTGGACCACGACAATACCGACTCAGCGGTAGTGTTTGATGTTTTCACTCACCCCACACTCTTTTCCCGTCTCTCTTCTGCGCCGTATGTACAACAAAGTGTGTAGTATTTCCCAGCTCACCCCCGCTGCCTCATCTTGCAAAGATATGATAGCAGACAACAGACGGCCACAGTGGCTCATCAGTGATACTAGACTTTAAAACAGAAATTCTTACCTTCGTAGTATGATGTGCCACAGTTGGACCGAAAGGATTCCGTCCTGTCGCTGGTATGACTCACAGGCACAGTATTTGGGTTTGTACGGAAGCTGGGTGCACATGAACATGATAAATTATAAATACGACAGAGGTTGTTGCAGTTTAAGGAAAAGTGTATCTTTAATTAGTTCCCAGTCGTGGGTTTGTTGTTGCTGGTAAACTTTGGCACCGTGGCATTCGTGCAAACTATGGTAGGCTTTAAGGCGCCAAAATCGAGACGGCTCAACCACATCTCTGGTTGGTTAGGTAGAAACAAAGAAGAACACGATAAACCATTGCCATCGCCAGTTTGGCTCCATCCAACGATTTATTACGCGGTTGTTTGTTTGTTTGGCTTTTACCGCAAATAACGCATTTCAAGGGTTTTCCCACTGTCGTCTTCGACACACATGGTGTGTTTATTGGTCGTTTGCGACTGAGTGGTTCTCACGACGAACAATGTGATACAATGTGTGATACTATGCCAATAAATACCACTTATCATACCTTTTCCCAAAAGACAGCTCACGTTCACTTATCCATCAGGAATGTATTTTCCTGTAACTTTTCCCGATATGCCGCTTTGAAAGTAAGTGTAAGCTAAGTGCGGGTGACGGACGATGCAAGCAGATGAAGACCTTTCCTTCTATTCGGAGGGATGTTGGTGATATGAACTTCATGTTTTTGCTGCTCATAGCTTACGCACATTTTTTGCGAAATCAAATGGTGCACTCAGACAAAGTCAACTGGTATCCAAAGCCTCCAAAAAACACTAGTACATATATCCATATGGCCGGTTGCTTCATCGAAACATAAAATCGTAGGGGTCTAAGCAAATCGTCATGAAGAAAATCGAATCCTAACAAGTTTTTTTTTAGATCGCTCGATTTTCATGACGATCACACTTCGTTTGGATGAATATCCGACTCAGTTGTGCGTAGAGCTGAAGGAGTAGCAATCCCATTCGGTGTTTCATCTTGCACGTTTTTTTATTTTTCTCTGCTCCCCGTTCAATTCGACACTATCACCAACTACTGATCTTGCGGATTTCGGATATAGTTAAGCTTCCGAACAGTGTTAGGTAGGGATAGCACAGTATTGCACTTAACAGGATTACTCAATGCCATAGCATCGTGTCCGTAAACCATCATGATTAGATCTATGGAATCCCTTACAAAAAAAAATCGTACAGCTGTAGCACCCTTTCGGTGCCTAGCTGCCATGCCACACGAAGGAGGCACGAGGGCTGGGATACTGCCAGGTTGCCCAAGCCTAGACAGGGGAAGTCGAGTGGCGGAGGTCGGATTCGAACCACGGACCTTCCGGTCAGTAAATTCGCGCTCTAACCACTTGGTCCATCTGAACTTCCCCTGTCTAGGCTTGGACAACCTGGCAGTATCCCAGCCCTCGTGCTTCCTTCGGGTGGCATGGCAGCTAGGCACCGAAAGGTGCTACAGCTGAACGCTTTCTTTCTATCCCTTACAAAGGTGAGGAGTTTCACACGGATGATCGTAACAATATTTGCTCATTGAATTTTCACAGAATCTCGTACCTCCTGAGAAGTCTCCCCTCAACTTCCTACATGATGCATGATTTTGTCCACCGTGGAATGGTTTTTCTCTCGGAGAAAAAACGATAGGTGACAACTATCTACTCTCCATTTTTGTGCATGGCGTGTACACACTAGGAGTTTGTTGTGTTTTGTTTTTGGTTTTAACTCGAGCTATTGAAGTAGTTTTTAATGCGTGATTCAGTAGGCGGCGTTTGGAAAATACATCACACTCTTTAGGAACAAGACGGTGCTTCATAGGACCTAATTAATTCATCACATATGACTAGAAATCTTTCGGGGATCGCCCAGTGTTGTACTGAAAATCTTTAACGTCATCCATGGGCGCTCAGAATGAAAGCTTACGATAATAACTTGCCCTAAGAGGAGTCGCAATTCTCATTATCTCTTTAATAAAACTAGATTAATGGGGAACTGACCTCTGGGAAATCAGGAGCTAGACAAATGAAATCACAACTTGCCAATCGCCTCTCCTCCGGGTGTATCAATGAGAATTTAGGATGATCAACTAGGGTATTTAACAAGGATATCCGTCGAATGGTTCGAAGAACGACAACCACATGTTGTCGTGTAACTATCCTGAGGATTTTGGTTTGAAAACGCAATACTGCTTTTGACAAAAAGCGTCTCTATTTCGGTTTTTTTGCAGAATAAGCGGACTTTCCTTCTGTTTCTCTGATTTTCTGATGAAACTTTGGATTTCATAAGATACTTGTGTGATTGGCCTTCCACACTTTGCCTACTGTGTTTCCAGCGGCTCCATTTATTACTTGTACCATGCACTATTCTAATAGGCTCATTGAACAAGACGTCTTGTTCTCGTAGAGAAATCGGAGAATAAATTTGTTGTTAAGATCACCACTACAGTGCACGGCCGTAGCATAAATGTCCTCTAACCTCATTTACCAGACCCACGATCTGTTAATCTTTTTACCTTGTACCGGTCGGACTAGATAGCCCGCTTGGTGCACCGCAGTTGAGAGATTTCTTTATTTTCTACGGTAAATATTTTTGGAATAGAGAGTCGTGTTGAACAATGCAAACTTCCCTCAATCTATACGTCTTGCAAACTAGTAATATGTGCTTCCCGAAAATCACTGCATCGATTGTATCGAGACCATATGGGGGGTAGCATTCGTCTTTCACAAGGTAGCGCGGAACTGTAGCTGGTAGTCAGCAACCCATAACTGGTACAGTGGCCCCTCTATTCCTCACTCTTTCATGTGCATTGTCTTGTATGACGGTTCAAAATCCTGTATGTGGTGCCCCACAGTAGAGGAACTTGGAAAAACGCGTCAGTCACCAGAGGAATCATGACCGAGTTCCCTCAAACACAGTTTAGTATGCAATCTGTCTGATTACACCACCGCCCATAGGGGAGGCATTCTATCTCATTCTAGCCGTAATAATTTGTCTGTAGGATTACGTTATGCAAAACAATGATACCAGATGTTGGTTCGGTGTGTGAATACTAGCTAGTGAAATCGGAACAGACACATGTGGCGTTTGGTGTGTAATTTTGAAAGAGTCGTGATGACTGCTTTAAAAACTACTTCAGCTTTGTTAGGTCGATGGTGTTATTACTAGTAACATGTCATCAGACTGCAAACTTTGGCTTGAGCACACACTGTGCTCGTTAGGGCACACAGGATCGTCGGCCCCTAAACAAAACACTGAGTGCGTCCATAATGAGAAATGCCAATTTTTGTATGTAAGTACAATTAACAGTGTGCGGCGAACTGATTCCCAAGATAATGTTGTTACAGCTGGTAACTCTGCTTGGTTCACTTCAGTATTTAATAAATGATGGATGTCATAGCCATTCTTTTCAGGAAGTGTGTGTAACGTAAAATGTACACAATATGCTCGAGTAAGATTGGCAAACATCTCCATAACCCGGTCGGATGCGCGTTATGGGTTTTTATCGTAGTATTCACAGGAGGTCGGATGAAATCGATTCTTCCACTTCATGACTACTCTGTTTCTGTGCTACTCAGAGTAAAATGACTGCCGTTAACACATGGACAGTGTTCACGACTATTTCAGATCGTCATAGAAAACAGGTTTAATTAACACCTGTCTGTATGATCTCGCTTTTGATGCCACGCACCATATCGTTCTAGATATTCTAGAAAAGGGACTGTTTTCTAAAGGATTATTTATAGGCAATCTACTGAGCCCTTTCGAAAGCTTGACTGTTTGAGTGCATCCTGCCCATATATCATCGTATATTTTAGACCAGTCATCATTTCTGTGAGAATCCCCTCATTTGGTTAGTGTAGGGTTTCTGAATGCTAAATGTGGTTGGAAAAAAACAACCTTAGCTGCTCCCACCATGTCTTCACATAGCCAAGTCTCTCGCGGGTCATTCAAGGAACTAGCATGGACACTATTACGGACAGTTTCTGACACCATCCATCTTATCTTGTTCCACGTGTGCAGGAGGTCAGGTGCTCCTACTCGCACGCTTTTTACATTTCTTGCTTTGAAAAAATATAGCTTTTAAGAACGTTTTCGCTTCACCCGCTTAATCTGATTGACCGAAGTGTCCCATATCTGGCTGTCAAATCGTATGGTGGGGTGGAGAGAAAGCCCACTAGTCTGCGAACTACAGTTTCGTTCGGACGTAAATGAAGTTCCACGCACCACAAAATGTGTGTCACCACACTTTCGTGGGAACTGGGAACCATATACACCTCTCTCTGACATAGGATGGTTTGTCGGACTGGGAAGGCCAAGTGCAAAATGAAATACACAACACGGTTCAAAGAACATTCCTAAGTGATATATGTACGCCTGACACTGTGTGCTTACTGGTTTACTAACTGAAGTGAACAGATGCTTCATTAGTCGACCGAAGAGATGCACAAAATGACAAATTGAAATTGGTTTGCATAGGATGCTGGATGGAACACAAACCTATGCATCGAAAGTTTCGGAAAATTATGACGACAAAACAATTCACCGCAGACTATCAGCCTATACAGATGCCAGCCCATCGGGCTTAATCAAGTATTAATACATGCTGCTCCGCCTTGCAACCTGGTCCATGTAAAAATACTTTAACAGGCTAAACTTAAGTGGAATTCGCCATAATAGGACCAATAGTAAAGATACCAAATGATGAGGCTAATAGCAAGTCATACCTTAATACCCTTTCGTAGTTGGTATAATAGTGCCTATCCGCTAAGGGGTAACGTTACCTGGCTGCAGCGTCGTATTTCACTTTGTTCTGGCTACCGCCCTATGTCAGCTGCCATTTTTGTGGGCGGCCATTGTAACTCCTTCATGCTGAATGGACCAGCCTCACACGGAGGAAGACCAGTTTGACTTCTTGGGACCCTTTACTTCATGAAAACTTATCTCCCACCGGGT